TATGTACACATATATACACATATATACATACATATATACTTTTTTTTTCTTTTCTACTATTGGAGTTTGAATTTGGTTTCCTGCATGCTAAGCAGATACTCTTTACTTAAGTTATGACTCCAGTCTTTTTTTTTTTTTTTTGGTTTAGTTATTTTTAAATTAAGTTTCCCATTTACATCTAAGCTGGTCTGTACTGGCCTGGACCCTGATCCTCCTATTTACACTTATTGCTGTGGCTGGGATGATAGGTGCATAGCACCATATCCAGCTTTTTTGGTTCATACATCTTTCAACTTTTTTTTTTGCCTAAGGTAGCTTAGAACTATGATCATCCTAGCTTCCTTCATAACTGAGATGAAGGCACATGCCACTGTACCCAGCTATATATATATATTTTTAATTTCACTAGTCTTTTCCTAAGTTAAAATCCATACTTTGCTGGTCTTTTCAAACCAACTACCTATAAAGTTGGAGACCAGTGGCTGCAGTTGGGGAACAAGCAGTGGAGCTGAATTTAGAACATACAGAAATTGTGTTACCATGCAAATGTGTTACTCATCTGGATTTTTTTTCTTCCTAATATACCAAACAAAATAGAATAATGATAAAATGGAATTGTTAGCACAAGTGCATTTTTGTATGTACTCTTCCATTTGGTTTATTCACTAAAGATGTATTGAAATCTTGCTCTCATCTAGCAATATGTTGGGCAGGTAATTGAATGAGGAGCTCAGAAAAAATGAAAGTGAAGATCTCTTGTCTGAAAGGCTACAGTCTATTTGGAGATAAGGAAAACAGAGAATTGGGTAGTGAAAATAAAATGTAAAAACAACAACAAAAAGACCAATTTAGCTTTCAACATTAAATTCCAGAGCCTCAACTAGATGTCATCTTTCTTCTTTAGAGCTTCAGAATATTTTATACCTCTTTGAAGTCCATACATGAATCTGGTATTTTATAATTACTCAACTAGATTGCTTGCCTCTTAGGAAAGAATGGCTTTTTTTTTTTTTAACATACCTGCTATGTGCTGTGGATTTTTTTGCTCAGATGGTGCCCTGGAGACTAAATCTGTAAATTCCTGTGTTGGTTTACTGTCATTTTTATTATACCATTTTTATTTTATTAGAGTACTTGTGTAGTGTGTTGGATTTAAATAGTTGATGGAGAAAAGGAATAATATTCTGGGCTTGGAGAATAGCCAAGCAAAGTTGGGGGTTGGAATTGGATATACAATATTTGAAAGTTGTTGCAGATATTTTCCTGACCAGAGTAGAGTTTTTGTTGAGAAGCAAAGAGAGGAAAGGTAAGTTCTTTCCATCTCTCCCTCCCTCCACTCAGATGCTCAGGCTTCCTAGTCATAAGTGAGGCCTCCTACTTGAGTTTTGGCCTCAGCTCTTTTTGCTTTTTAAGTTTTTAGATAGGTCCTTGTGCTTTTTGTCTTGCCTCACTTTGGACTGCAGTTCTCCTGTTTCCACCTCTCAAGTAGCTGAGATTCTTGATATATTCCACCGTACTTGCTCTTTTTGGATAAACTCTTTATAACATTTTTGAGGGAGGAGACTGGGCTGACTTCAAATTGCCATCCTCCTATCTCTGCCTCCCAAGTAGCTGGGATTACAGGCCACTTTACTTGATGTTTTCTGTTTTAGATACTATGTATTTACTTCCTTACTTCCTGCTGTCAAAGATGAGTTTTCTTCCTAGCTATTGCCTTTTACTTTTGCAGTATGATACAGTATTCATATGGTGTTTTTGTTTTTTTTGTTTTGTCAGTTGTGGGGGCTGAACTCTGGGCTTGGGCGCTGTCCATCAGCTCTTCAGCTCAAGGCTAGCGCCCTATCACTTGAGCCACATCACCACTTCCAGCTTTTTCTGCATATGTATGATACAGTATACAAGATAAAAGCAGCTTGCTATTATTGGAGGCCTCACAACACTGTTCTGTCTCATCTCTTGCTACTCTTCAGTAGTACTGCTTTCTGTTTTAAGTAGTATATATAGCACTTTGTATTATCTCTTACTTTCTGGAAGCTTTTAGAATTGATCTAGGTAACTTTGGTGCTTTGTAATTTCATTAAAGTACTTATTATACCTGAAGGATAAATTTCTGTTAGAGGAATAGTTGCTTTAAAGTCTGATGCATATAAACTCTTAGTCAGTTTCTTCTAGTTGTAAGAAAATTCCTTTAGTCTAGAGTTTCTCCTAAACTATATTGTAGCCATTCTCTTCAGTCCAGTATTGGCACAGACTAGTGTCACCTCTGTTCAGTGTCTGCCTCAGAGCTTTTCTAGGAGTATCTTTTGAAGTTGGCACCATCTCTTCACTTGGATGTCACACTCCTCTATGCACATGCACATACACACATGCAAATTTCCCATTCATGTTGCCCATGCCTTCCTTCATCTATTAACACCCTCAAAAACATAGTCTGGCTCACTAATTAGGATAATTAGTTCTACTGATCAATTATTCATAGATATTTTGTCACTGCTAATTATGTGATAACATCTTACTGCTAGACTGAAGGGTAAGAATTCAGATAAAAGGTTCAGGGTCATCTTTGTAAGGAAATTCAGAAGTTAGAACGAGACCGAAGGCATTGAGTAAGTATAACCAGACCAAGCCAGGAGGCTGTGTACCGCCTCAAAGAACAATTGAGGCAATGCCGAAATGGGCAGATAAAGGTGCCATGGGAACATTAAAGCTTATTGGAAGGAAAGAAGATTATAAGATGATTGTGACTTCACAGGAATGAAGGAGGAGACTTGGATGCTCTGGAGAATAGTTTCAGAAGGTCCAGAGTGAGACAGAGCTTAGAAAGAGATGGAGTTTGAGTGGATGTAGAGAACAATTTTAATTCAGAGCTTTTATTTGAGACTGGGTAGCTGGGTGTGAAGGTAGAATGTGAGGCTGGATCAAAAGGAAGTAGGAGTTTTGGGGGGTGAAGGACTACCTGAGCATGTTTAAATGTGAGTGATTGAACGAAGGTGACTAATGGTGAGAATCAAGCACTGCAGAAAATGGGAAGATTTGAAGGGAGAGAAGATAAAAAGGAAGGCTCGAGAATGGAGGGGAAAGAGGAGAGAAGAAGAGACAAGAGAGAAAAATTCCCTCAAAAGGAAAGGAGCTCTTCCTCTGAAAACTGAGTGAGGTTAAGATGAACAGCTAGCCATGGATATAGTTTTCCTCTTCCTGTTCCTCCTCTTTCTTATCCCATCCTCTCCCCCACCCCCCACCCCCCGCGCCAGCCACTAGAATATCTACAGGATCCTTGTTATGTAGCTGAGGCTGGCCTCAAACCCCCTATGTAGCCCCAGACTGGGCCTCAGAACTGTCCATCTTCCTGAACCATGGGTGGCCATCTTGCTGTTTTTATTGTGGTATTACTAGTTTGGGAAGGTAAGGAGAAAGTGGATTCTGTGCCCTAAGTAGTACTATAGACTGATACTCAACTGTCTATGTGGTCAGCAGAATTAGGGTAGTGACATGATTCTCTTAGTAGGCAACCCTGTGACCTGGGCAGAATAGGCAATCCAGGTCACTACAAGGTGAAAGCAGAGTTTTCTCTAGGTAGAAAGTGATCAGGTTTTATCAGGAAGATGGGACAAATGAGACAGGAAGGATATTGTGATAGAAGGAAGTCCAATAACACCACTTTGGGGAAGTTATGGGTAGAGCTTTCAATGAAGTAGAATTTACTCCACTTGATTGGGAAAGAAGAGCTTTTATTTGGTAATGAGCAAAAATTATAGGAGCAGTGTGAACATTATAAAAGAGATCATCATAACTGTCAGAATCACAGAAGTCCTGTTTTTACCAGGATGTTCTGTGTAGTCTTGAAATCAGATACTGTAAGTTTGTAAAAAGTAATGGGTTTTATAATGTCAGTGAGCAACATTTTCAGAAGGTTGGAGAATCACATGGTTGTGTACTCTGTTCTTCATGCCTTTTTCTGGAAGCTCAATTTCACTTTAATGGTTCTATCTATTAAAATGTGCAGTGTGATACTTTTGATCTTTCAAGAAATGCAGAAAACTGTTTATTGATATGTAGTTTGTGTGCAGACGTAATTGGATAGTAATGGTGTAAATACCTAAAGGTCTAGGGGTTAGTGTAATAAACCAAGCAAGAAAATGTTTATCTTTTAAAGGCTTTTCTTCTCTGATGTGCTCTTGTGTCTGCTGAGGGGAATGACTTCAAGTGGGTTTAATAGTGCTAGTACCTTCCTAGGACTATCTGAGGTAGCAGGGATTTTGATGGGCAGTATGGGGAATATTTTCTTTTCTCTTTTGGTACAGTGAATCTTATTACGTCTGTTACAATCTGCTACCTTGATGATTTCCATTTGCAGTTGCTTAAAGAACAACACAATCAACTTGCCATGAGCTAAAAGAATGATTGTCCTTTTACAGGACAGCTGTGAAAAGTAGATGGCTACTTAATAGCAAGAAATACACCATTTCTTATTGGAAGCCAGCCTATATTTTTATGGCTAAGATGACCCAATCTCCTATTTTCCTGTGGCAATCCTGATTGTAACAATTGTTCCAACATCTTGTCAGTTAAGACCTTCACTCTCAGAAATGTTCTCATTTGGACAGTATATTATGAGGTCATTCTTAATTGCAGGTCGTATTTTGAGACTCATGGTCTTTACTTTGAGTCATTTGTACCTTAGCAATTGAAAGAAGAAAGTGGTTTTTTTTTTTTCCCCTCTTAATTAGAGGTACTTGAACAAAATTGTCCCTTTCTATAACTTCCCAGTAAATAATGGTAAAATGTCTTATAACTTGGCATTGAGTTTGGTAGGCACCACTGGAACTTAGCAGCTGTGTTAATGAGAGTATGTTATCAGGAGTATAGCAATTTTTCCTTAGTATTTCCTGTGTTGAGAAATAAATATATAGTAGTGTTGGGTCTTGGATTTATGAAATATTGGTGACAAACTTTATTTAATAGTGACTTAAGCCTCGACTATTTTCCTTATTTTCAAACAGCACTAATATTCTGACAGACCCTGTGTGCCTAGGAGGCTGTGAACACATCTTCTGTAGGTAAGTAATTATGGATGTACTGTAACTCTCTCTTTTTTTAGATAGCAGTCATGTAATCATATTGACTATTATCTCATTTTGATCCTTACAGATCTCATAATTTTCAAGTAAGAACATAAAGCTCAGAGAAAGCTATTTACTAAACTCTTTAACTAGGATGAGTTATTCAAATACTTTTTATCTTTCAGTTTTTTATCAGTACTTTCAAAATTATGAGAGTATAGCTCCTAAAGCTATTATATTAGTTTCCTGGAGCTTCTGTAACAAATTCCAAGAACCAGGTTGTTTAGAACAGTAGACCTTTGTGTGTTGTGTGTGTTTATGTATGCTGGATGCTCAGTCTGGGTAATGCCCCTTAGCTTTTGTGTTCAAGGATAGCATGCTATCACTTGAGTCAAAGTTCTACTTCCAGCTTTTTGGTGGTTAATTGGAGATAAGAGTCGCAGACTTTCCTGTCCCAGGCTGGCTTCAAACTTTGATCCTCAGATCTTGGCCTCCTGAGGCAGCTAGGCTTATCGGCATAAACTGCTGGTGCCTGGCTGGCTTTAGAACGATAGGAATTTATTGTCTAATAGTTCTGGGGCCACAAAGTTAAGTTGGAGGAGCCAGCAAATTTTATTCCTTCTCAAGGCTATGAGAGAGAGTTTGTTCATACCTCTCCTAGCCTGTAGGTTGCTATTGAGGTGCTGTGACAAAATACCTGACATAAACAACTGAAGGGGTGAAACTATTTTAGCTATGGTTTCAGTTTATAGCCCTTGGCTCTGTTGATTATGGGCCTGTGGTGAGACAGAACATCATTAACAGTGTCAGTGTGAAGGACAAGGCTGTTCACCTCATGATGGACAGGAAGTAGAGAGGAAGGAACCAAAGACCAGGTATACCCTACAAAGGTTACACTTCCTCTAGCTAGGCCTCTCCTAGTTTCTACTTCTTCCACAGTCTTTTACGTAGCATTATTTTATGATATATACAGTCGTCCCTTGCAATATCGTGGTTCACTTATTGTGGCTTCACTGTATCCCAGATTTTAAAAAAATACATAAATAGTGATCTCACACCTAGCACAGGAGTTACATGCCAGAGGTTTCCATGATAGGTGAAAATCTGCAAAGCAGCAATTAGTGAGCTGCGATATAGCAAGAGACAACTATATAACATTGCTACTTTGTGGATTTTCACCTAGTGCCAGAGTCTCTGGAATGTAACTCCCATGATAAGTGAGGGATCACTGTAATGACTTAAAAAAATACTAGCTCACTGAGTTATATAGGTCTACCTAATGATATAGTTTCCAGAATGCAAGGTTAATGTCTATATAGTAATTTAGGTATGATTTAAAAAACAGTTCAAGTTGAACATCCTGCCTGAGTTTAAAACTCTGAAGCCAAAACTATCCAAAAAGTTCAGGTTTTCAGATTGATGATGCTCAACAGATAAAAGTGTATGTAAATACTCCCAAATCTCCAAAAATCTGAAATAACTTGGATAAAGGAAACTCAACCTGTATATAAAATAGACAGATTAGTGGAATGTTGAGTAAATGACTTAACTAATGATCATTTTCTACAGCTGAAAACGAATGGTGGTCCTGGAGGAGTGGATTTCAAATTGTATTTTACTGGTATTGTTCAAATAATTAAGTGTTGCATGAAATTTATTTAAGTTGCTTGGTGTGTGTGTGTGTGTGTGTGTGTGTGTGTGTGTGTGTGTGTGTGTGTGTGTGTGTGTGTGTGTGTGTGTGTGTGTGTGTGTGTGTGTGTGTGTGTGTGTGTGTGTGTGTGTGTGTGTGTGTGTGTGTGTGTGTGTGTGTGTGTTCTGCTTTGAGACAGGGTCTTTGCTATATTGCCCAAATTGATCTTGAACTGCTGGGCTGAAGTGATCTACCTCATTTCCTGGCTCAAGTTAGAGTTCTTAACTACAAGGGAACAAACTCACAAAAGTTTCTTTTTTTTTTTGCCAGTACTGGGGCTTGAACTCAGGACCTGGGCACTGTCCTTGAGCTGCTTCTGCTCAAGGCTAGCACTCTACCACTTGAGCCACAGTGCCTCTCCTCGCTTTTTCTGTTTATGTGGTACTGAGGAATTGAACCCAGGGCTTTATGCATGCTAGGCAAGCACTCTACCACTAAGCCATATTCCCAGCCCCAAAATCTTCCTCTTTTTTTTGGTCATGGGGCCTGAACTCTCTGGGTTTGGGCACTGTCTCTCAGCAATTCAACTCAAGGCTAGTGCTCTATCATTGAGCCCACAGCACCACTTCCGGCTTTTTCTGCTTATGTAGTGTTGAGGACAAACTCACAAAAGTTTCTTTGCTACAGAGTGTGGGTATTTATTGAACTAGATACTCATATCTCTCCTGGCTGCAGTGTGGATTACAAATTTATCTTCAACTTTCTGAGTAGTTTTATTTTAGCAATCATGCTAAATGACAAGAATACAAAATTAGAAAAACCACAGGGTTAGTCAGGATAGTTCATATTATACAAATTTTGTACCTACAAATGAGTGGGTTAATGTCTTGCTTGGGGGAGATGTGTTTTTTTAGTATGTGTAGTAAGACTATGGAAGGAGTCGATAAATTGACCCTCCAGAATTCACAAGTGGGCTTCAGGGGATATTGTGAACTATCTCCCCCACTTTTTTTTTTTTTTTTTGGGTCCGGTCGTGGGGCCTGAACTCTGGGCCTGGGCACTGTCCCTCAGCTCTTCAGCTCAAGGCTAGCACTCTACCACTTGAGCCACAGCGCCACTTCCGGCTTTTTTCTTTTTGCTTATGTGGTGCTGAGGAATCGAACCCAGGGCCTTGAGCATGCAAGGCAAGTGCTCTACCACTGAGCCAACTTCCCAGCCCTATCTCCCCCACTTTTAAAGAATAGTAGTATGTATATATTTTCGTTAAATTGATGATGCGTTTCTAACTCCTAACTATGAGACTGTAACAGTATAACGTTTAAACCGATAACCTGAGATAATGGAGTCTATGGTTATAAAACGACGTGAAAAAGCCAGGTATCTTTTCAGAAAACCACTTTAAAGCCTTTAGACACTTGGCCAAACACAAACATAGTTCCAGTCTATTTGTACTAACTGCATTATTTCCATGAAGTAGAGTGGTAAGTAGTGTGAAGGTTTACGCTAAGAGATGTTGAGATGTATAGATTAGGTAAATACTGATTTACGTTTCTATCTGTACCCTCACCCTTTAGAAACTAGCTTTATTTTTTTAAAATTTTTATTTTTATATTTTTGGTCAGTCATGGGGCTTGAACTCTGGGCTTGGGTGCTATCCCTCAGCTCTTCAGCTCAAGGCGAGTGCCCTACCACTTGAACCACAATGCCACTTCCCGTTTTCTAGTGGTTTATTGGAGATCAGAGTCTCACAGAATTTCCTGCCTGGGCTGGCTATGAACCTTGATCCTCAGATCTCAGCCTCCTGAGTAGCTAGGATTACAGGCGTGAGCCACCAGCGCCTGGCGTAACTAGCTTTATTTAAAGGAGAAGTTACATAGACTGATGCCAGGTTAAGTAAAGTTTCATCACAGCAAATTATATGGCAACTTTAGGTTTCTATTTTGTATCTATGTCATACTCTACAGCGAACTATTTTAATCTTGTTAAAACTGTATTTCACAATTGACCATTAATGTGTTAAAACAACTGCTTCATTTACTTCTCATACTCTGGTTAATATTTATTTCTTGAAGTTCAGATTTTGCTCAATTGTTTTTTAATTCTTTTGAAGTGATTGTGTAAGTGACTGCATTGGAACAGGATGTCCTGTGTGTTACACTCCAGCCTGGGTACTAGATGTCAAGATAAACAGACAGTTGGACAGCATGATCCACCTTTGTAGTAAGCTTCGAAATCTCCTCCATGACAATGAGCTTTCAGGTGAGAAATGCCACTGTCTCTCTATTAGTTAAGTAGCTGATGATTTGTATCAGTCATACATAAAGTAAAAGATCGATCTGGAATTCTGAATGACATATTAGATATTATGATCTATAGTGTTTATTTTAAAATCATTTTCAGAAATGATAGAAAACATATTTAGATCTAACTCCCTTATTTTATAAATGAGATGCAAGGTCCAGAAAGGTTAAGTGGTCTTGACTGCAGTCACATTTTATCAAAAGCAAGCAGGTTTCCCAGTTTCTTTTCTATTTGTTCTTTTTTTGAGAGGTGGGAACACATGTATGTATACTGGAGCTTAGACTTGGATCCTTGCTTTGAATTCTTGTCTGCTTTTTTGCTTAAGGCTGGTGCTCTACCATTTGAGCCACAGCTTCACTTCTAGCTTTTTTGCTGGTTAATTGGAGATAAGAATCTCATGGGCTTTTCTGCCCCAGCTGACTTCAAACTGTGATCATCAGATCTTAGCCTCTTGAGTATGGATGATTCCAGGTATAAGCCTGCCACTGGCACCCAGCTCCATTTCTTACTTGTCAGTCCAGAGCCCTTTTCACTATTTTACACTGGCTGGTTTTTACAGTTATGATCATTTGCATAGAGTATATATAGAATAGGGATTTTGTCCATAATAATGTTTAACTCACTTAAATATACTTTTGCAAGATAGACTGCAGCATTTTTCCATGGATCACTTTTCTAGACTGTATTAATTAGATAAGCATGTTGTGAAAGAGCAAAAATCTAATACTCATTTTCTTTTCTACTTAAATGGGGGTTAATGCTTTTCAAATTGTTCTTAGTCTCTGTGTCTTAACTATATATCTTCCCATTGTGCTTTCTGCTGAGAACTAATTAGCTGTGAAAAGAAAGTAAAAGTGTTTTGAATCTTCATAATTGGATATTGGAGCTGTCTTTTATTGACCAGATCATACCATTTTAATATGTGTTTATAGGAGAACCTATTCTTGCCTGATAAGATGCTATGAATGCTTGATCATACTAATATAAAATTGTGGGACTTCTGTTCATAAATATTTTGTATTTTGAGCATAACATAGTACTATTATTTTCAGCTACCAAGGATAAAAGAAGAAAACAAGGCAAATATTTTGTCTTATTGACCAGAGTTTCATTTTCTTAGAAGTGGTTTAATTCATAACCTGTCTGTGAAAAGTTTCCATTTGGAAAATTGTACTAGACTTTGTGTGTATATGTGTGTGTGTGTGTGTGTGTGCGCACATGCCAATATTGTTGCCTGAATTCAGGGCTGGGCACAGTCCATTAGCTTTTTTGCTCAAGGCTAGTGCTCTACCATTGGAGCCACAGCTCTACTTTTTGCTGGTTAATTGGAGAAAAAACTCTCATAGACTTTTCTCATTGGACTGGCTTCCAACTCCAGTATTCTAACCTCAGCCTTTATAGCTAGGATTTTAGGAGTGGGCCCTAGCTTCCAGGTGTAGACTCCATTTTTAATGATACAATATGCTGTGGCAGTTGTTTTACTATTTGCAGATATATACATTTTAAAAAGTTCCCACTTTAAAAAGATAGTAAGAACATAGTGAAATAGTGAGACTTTTTTTTTTAATCATTAGTTCAGTTCAACTTGTTTAAAGATAATGTTTCTTGATTTTCTAGCTGAAAAGTATGGTGTATAATCTGGCTCCATCATCTATCATAGACTCCTTGGATTGGATTAATGCACGGATCTTTGGCAGTGCTCTGAGTTGTCAGTGTAGAAGGACCAGACTTCCTGAGTTAATTGTACATTTTGAACATGAACACAGAAGTGTTTTTTGCTGTATTCTAATGGTATATAATTCATTAGGATTAGTAACCATACATTGAAATTTGGATGCCACCTGGAAACCATCATGCTATTTTGACTCTTCTCCATTTACTAGAGATGCTGTAATAAATTAGCTAAGTGACTTAACTAAGAGAAATTTATTGTCTCCAGCTCTGGAGCTAGAAGTCTTAAGATCAAGCTGAATACAGGGTTAGTTCTCTTTGAGGTCTCTCTCGGGCCTCTCTTCTTGGCTTATATCTAAGTGACTATCTTATTTTTATCTTATTTTTTTTACAAGAGTGTTTATATCAAATTTTTCTTTTTTATAAGGATTCCAGTCCTTTTATTTCCTTTCAATAAAGCTTATTTGAACTAATTACATCTAATGACCCATTTTTTCTGACGAATTTAGTGCTTCAAAGTCAATTGAAGAGACAGAAGGAAAAACAAAATTTAATCCATTGAAGAAACTTGTTATTTTTACTTATGTTATAATAGGGGGGTAGTGGCGCTGTAGCTTAAGTGGTAGAGTGCTCGCCTTGAGCTGAAGAGCTGAGGGACAGTGCCCAGGCCCAGAGTTCAGGCCCCAAGACCGACAAAAATAAAAAAAAATAAAAAAAATAGGGGAAGTTTTAAAATAACTTTTGTAGATTAACTGTCATCCAGTATTACATACTATGGTACTAGCTTTATTGGTGGACAAAGAGGAATAAAACAGATTTCTAGAAATTTCACTGTAGTGGACAACTTTTAAATCATTTGTATAGTTTTCTTACTTTATTTACAATGGAATATGAAATGCCTTGATGAATCATCATTGAAGAAACTATTTAGGCAAACCAAGTTTTAAACAAGGTTCTAGGTATGGCTAGGCTTTTTAATATATTTTCTTTCTCATGTAAGTAGAAATAGTCTTGGGGAGAATTATGGTAATTTTTTTCCCTAAACACTGAATTGTGCTATTTTCCATGTTATAAGAGTAGAGTGAAGATAAGAAGGTGATCTTGCTGTGACATCTGTCACTTTACTGATGAGCAAGACTGATTCAGCTGATCTGGCTGACTAGGTGGGTGCTCCTTTCTTCTTTTGATCCATATGCCCCTCCCAGTTTGCATGGAAGAGGAGGGTCATTCTTTGGTCAAGAATTTAGGAGTACCTACCTGTATGCCTTTCCTAGCACCTTCAAACAAGCTCTCAAGAGTAAAATGAGGACTTTGAATTTTAACTGTCCTACCACCCACTCATACCCCAAAAAGAGTAATAACTAAGGACTAGTTCTTACTAGATTTTAGCACTATTACCTTTAATGTCCTTACATTTGATGAATTGGAAATTTCTTCTTCTAGATAACATGTAATCAGAATTTTAGGAGTTATGAGGTCATCTTTTTTTTTTGATCAGTTGTGGGGCTTGAACTCTGGGCTTGGGCGCTGTCCCTGCACTCTTCAGCTCAAGGCGAGTGCTCTACCGCTTGAGCCACAGCACTACTTCCAGTTTTCTAGTGGTTTATTGGAGATAAGAGTCTCACAGATTTTCCTGCCTGGGCTGGCTTTGAACCTCGATCCTCAGATCTGAGCTTCCTGAGTAGCTAGGATTACAGGTGTGATCCACCTGCGCCCGGCTTATGAGACCATCTTTGTTCCTGGATCTGTAGAGAAGATTAAAGACCAAGGTTGCTCAGAGCCATCATGTTTGACATTTCCTGCTTATTAGTTTTCCGTTTAGAATAGCTGGTTTTCTGGTTTTTGGTTTTTGGGGGTTTTTTTGGTTGGAAGTAAAGATTATGTGTGTTGAGTTGTATAAAAATTATATTTTAGAGACTCAATTAAAATAATTTTTAAAAAAGTTTTCTGATTTTGGGTTACATAATTCCCTTTATAATGGTGACATGCTCCTCTGTTTTACCTTGATAGAAAGTGACAATAAACTAAAGTATAAACATACTGAAACATATCCACCGAGGCATATTACTTTCCATGGAGCAGAACTTTTCCTACTTCAGTGTAAATTTTATTGTCACCAACTTTTCCCTTCACAGCACTCCATATTAAACCAGTTTGTGAAGGTATTTGGGATTGTTTATCTGGAACATTTTGCTTCTTTATAGTTATATATAATTTTTGTACGTTTATGTAGTCCCTTTCTTTGGAAAGTAATTACTAGATAAACTAACGTGGCATAAAGTAAATTATATAGTAAATAGAAGAAACCAATAATTGAGAACAATTATAGTTGGTCTTCATAATGAGATTGGAAAATGATCTCATTATAAGATAAAGATATTAGATTAAGTGATACCTAAAGTCTGGCTTCTATATTATATAACCCTATTATGTGATCACATGTTGAAGATGACAAATTAAGTGGAATAGGTGGACATCTCTCACATTTTCTTTTTTTAAAAAACTCTGTAGTTCATTCTTCAAATGAACCTTGTTACTTGCATTTACTATAATCTATAATTACTATAATTAAGGTAGACAATTATAACTTGTCAAATCATGGATAGTATATGTTATACTGGAGATAAAGAAGCCTGATTTATAGTATGTGTACTAAAATGAGTTTGTAAGTACTTCAACAGATTTTTTTTCCTAAGGGAAGAGATTGTCAATTTTTTTCTGATGGCCAGTTATGAATAATTTTATCTTACTCTTTATAACATAGTCTACTTTCTACTAATAAGAATTATTTAAAAGTTTTCATTTTTCTCTTGAACTTAACTATTAAATTAGACCTTGCAAGGTGCTGGTTAAGTTCTGTAGTACATGCCGGTATTGGTGACATTTAAAAACCTACTTTGATTATGCTTTCATTGGGTCACAATTTTTTTTTATGCTTTCTGGTTTAGCTAGAAATGCTGCCTTTCTGAAGTGACTACATGCACAGTGTTTCATATATGCTGTGCTGTGTCTTTTTATCATAGTGAACATGAGTGTTTGAATTGTGTTTTTTTTTAAGGAGACAAATATTCTTTACTCACAAAATAATTATTCTTCAATAAAAGCATTCATGTTACACAGATGGTAAGCAAAATACTTTTCTTTGATTTTTTAAAATAAGAGACTAGTTATCAAAGAGATTTCTCTATGTTGTGAAACTTATAATAGAGAATAATTTGAAAGGCACACAATATACATCATTATGATCCTTTGATGTAGATTAATGATGGTGAACTCATTTTCTAATTGCTTCTCTTTTATAGTTTATTATTAAATATTAAGAAAAAACTTGGCTCAGTAGCTCCTTAGTAACACATGTATCTCTGGTCCTCAATACTTCGTAGGAATCTTTTAAATGTCATTATTAAGAAATTTACTATCCACGGGGAAAAATACTAACCTTTTTCTTCATAACATGAATATGATAATTTATCAGTTTAGAAGCATTCACCCATAAAAATGGTTGTTGCTGTTAATAATTTGATTTATGTGCAGGCAGTTTTGTATTTTACCTTCTTAAATTTTTTTTTACAGTTTTATCTTACATTTGCTGTATAAAATTTGGAATATAGAGACATATTTGTGGTTCTTGCTTAGTTATACCAAGTGAAATAATTGAAATCTTCTTAAGCAAAGTTATTATTACATAATAGCCAGTAAAATGGTGTATATTTACAAAATATATAAGTATGTACTCTGAAATTATCACTTACTCCTCTATAAGTTAAGAAACATACACACCTGAGTATGTAATTTGTTCTTTTTAGACTTAGGAGTTGTAGTCACTTAAATATGGTAACACTGCTTAGAAACTATAGCATTTTGTAAGAATTACAAACATTGGGAACCTCCAGATCTGACTTGTTTTTAATTGAAAATGTCATCATCTCTGCTTAAAATATCAAACAGGACTACCTGAGGATTAACCTTTAAGTCTTTGTAATCCTGAGTCTTTCTTAAAAGATAATCCTGGCAGCATTTCATTTTGACCTTTCCTCTAGTTTTGAGATTATATCAGAAATGGTTTGGTTTTGAAATCTACTTATCACTGAAAAGAAAGTCTTTGTTGAATTGAGATGTAAAGTCTCTGTGTGAATGGATATGTCATTCTGATTGTCTTGATTCTCAAGATGCTATCTCAGTAACACTTTATGGAGCAGCAGATGTACAGTTACCAATGTGAAAAAGTTGTGTGGGAGTCTGTCTCTACTCAAATACACATTTCTGCTTCCAGCTGGGTTTGTCTGCTTAATGGGCTCACTGGAGCATTCTACTTTCACAAGGTGGAAGTGATGGCTCCTTTGGAATGTAGTGTAATAGTTTTTGTTATTGTTAGCTAAGGATCACATCTGAGATTTTTTTGTTAAAAAATGTACAAGTCATGTATACTTCAAAACAGGAATTGATCCTGAGAATTAAAATTGGACTGATTTTAAATTGTCAAATGATACATTTTTTGTGAAAAAATGACTAGAAGAAGTAGAAAATAATTGGTAACATAACTAGTATTTTATGTTACATTTCACTTTTTTCCATTCAAAATTATTTTTGTGTGTGTGTGTGTGCATGTGCACGCGAGTGTGCATGCATGGGCACACACAAGTGTACGTGCTGATACTGGAGCTTGAACTCCAGGCCTGCACACTATTCCTGAGCTTATTTTTCCTAAAGGCTAGTCCTACTTGAGTCCCAGCTCTACTAGTTTTCTGGTGGTTAATTGGAGATGAGTGTCTCATGGACTTTCCTGCCCAGGCTGGCTTTGAACTGCAATCCTCAGATCTCAAACTCTTGAGTAGTGGAGATTATAGGCATGAGCTACCAGTGCCTTGCTAATTTTCCCCCTCCCCCTTCATGCTCCCCCAGTCCCCTCCCCCATCTATAGAGCAAATTTACATGGTTTCCCTTTTTTTGTTGGCTAGTGAATTATGTTGAATGATTTGCAAGTTATCTTTAAAAAATAAGGCATTAGTTATAGTTACTAGATTATACTTATTAAATCCCACATCTGTCCTTTTTCTTTCTTTGTTTTATGAATATATTCTTATTCTTAGTTTTAAATATATATATATATATATATATATATATATTTGTTTTATATGTGTTTTACTATTTGCCATACTATATTCTTACTTTTCTATCTACCTTCAGTAGAATGTAAATTGCTTTGTCTTCAGTGTTTGTAACATTGTTTGGCACACATAGAAGTCAGGAAACATTTGTTGAGTGAGGTACTATCTACCTCCTCTCAAGTCATCTATAGTTTAGGAGTAGAGAAAAGGGCACCCAGATCAATTGCCACACACTTAGGATGGCTATAAACAAAATTCTTTGGTTGCTTAAGGAGGAGGAGATGAATCCTTCTAACAGATTTCTCTTTTTTCTTTCAGATGTGAAAGAAGCTACATCTAGGACAAGGATATTTAATGATGCGGAAAACAAGAAAGACTCAATAAAAATGTGGTTTAGTCCTCGAAGTAAGAGGGTTAGATATGTTGTGAATAAAGTTTCAGTGCAAACCAAGCCTAAAAAGACAACAGATGATAAAGCTCTGCCAACTTCAATGTATGAATTCATATCTACAACTCCTCCCACAGTTGTTTCTAAGAGAGCTAGAAAGGCATCTACAACACCTGCAAAAAAACAAACAAATAGAACTTTAGCTGAAATCAACCAAGAATGGAACATAGAGTCAGAACAAGAAGGCAGTGACTTCATGTCTAAAGATGAATCTAAGGAAAGGATAGTGTCCTTCTGTAGCCAGCCATCTGTTTTATCTACTCCAGAGGAAAGTGATGGAATAGACTTAATTGAAAGTTGTTCCGTATCAGAATCTGAATGTGGAAATGTGACTGAAGTCTCTTTGCCATTGGCTGAACATACAGTGTCTCCAGACACTGAAAGTAAGAATGAAGTGACTTCTGAAAAGGTCTATAAGAACGATCATACTTCTAATACATCTTTGACATTAGGTTGTAATGGGAAACATAGATCTAGTAACAGACTTTCTCAGCCTGTTCCTAAAAGGAGTAGAAGCCGGGTTCCCAGCACTCGTAGAGGTTCTGTTAAACCTACAGTGTACTCGGCAAACTTACGATTGCTTGATTGTTCATCTTCAAGCAAACTTCCAGTGGATGACACACTCAGGAGGAGAAACAGTAACATGTCAGATGACTCCATTAGCCTCTCACCACCAACACTGCCTTCTTCACTGAATAGTTCAACATATAGACGAATGATGTCCAGCCCCTCGACAATGAAGCTCTCGCCCAGTAGCCTTGTGGTTGGGAAAAGAAATCATAGAGGAGAGACTTTGCTTCATATTGCTTCTATAAAGGTAGGATATTTACTCTGGAATGAACTCTGGGAATGAGGCTATGGTACTTTCTGTTACTGTAACAAATACCTTAGATAATCAATTTACAAGAAGAAAAGGTTTATTTTGGCTCATAGTTTGGGAGTTTCAGCCCATGACTGATAGGGCTCTTGTTGTGAACTTGTGTCTTGGCAGGGCTACTAGGTTGAGCAAAGCTGTTCACCTCAGGATTACAAAGCACAAATGATAGGAAGAGGAAGAGGCTGAGTTCCACTGTCTCCTTTAAGGGCATAAGCCTTCATGACTTGAATACCTTCTCTTAGGTCCTACCTCTTAAAGTTTCCCTTGGTTTTCAGTACCATCATACTGGGGACCAATTGTCCACCCCATTGGAGAGCATGGAAGATCCAAACAGTAGAGACCAAACATAAATCAGTTTCTAGGGAGTTTTGAAAATTGTCAAAAGACTACTAGGGTATTTAATTTATTACAAATGGCAGTTTTTTCTTTGGATTAGAAAAGCAAAATTAATTAATTTACCTTAGTTAAGCAGTGGCCCTGGGTTCTGGGAAACATTATTGATAGGAGAAAACTTTTTGCTTGACTTGGCCTTGAACCACCCTCCTCCAGTTCTCAGTCTCCTTAGTTGCTGGGATTATGGTGTGAACCATTGTTTTTTGCCAAGTGCTTTTGCTGCTGTCTCATTTTTCAACTTTTCATAATTACTTACCTTTTTTTTTTTTTTTGAGATAGAGAGTCTCATGGAATTTCCTTCCCTGGGCTAGCTTTGAACTGCAATCCTCAGATCTCGGCCTCCTGAGTAGCTAGGATTATAGGCATGAGCCACCAGCACCTGGAACAATGTGACACAAATAGAAGTGTCTATCTGTTCTTGACAGCCCTAGAGGTCATTGCTAGTATCTGGGAGATTGAAGATATGAGCTGAATATTTGGCTACCAGAAATAGCCCCTGTAACAGGTCACCCCTAAGGAGCTGCTCTGTCCCATAGTCAGACATTTCTTTTACTGCCCTATTAATTGAAATTAATTTCTCTTCATTATTGACCTCAGCACCTGTGATTCATTATTGTTATTTTTTTTGAACCTGGTTCATTTTCTGAGCATGAGATACTCTTACACTAGTTCAGACTTATAATTGCCCATGTTTTTCATCTTGAACTTAATTGCCAATTACTATTATTATCAAATACTACTATTATCATCACTTGGCAAATTATAATACGGTCCATTTAGAAAAAATTCATTGATTTCTATTGTTTTTCAATCAGTGTTCTTTAATTTTTTTTTTATTATGATGCTAGGTATGGTTATCCATCCTTACAATCCTAACATGAGGTCAGAGGATCATGAGATGAAGGTCAGCCAAGGCTACAGAGCAAGACCCTGCCTTACCCTCACAAAAAATGATTACATGCTGAATATACCATGCCACCTAACTTTGATCTCTCATTGCTGGAGAGCAACCTCAGCACCTTAGTGTACTAAGCAAATGTTCTACAAGGTAGCTCCATTCACAGCTTCCAAGTTTGATCTTAATAAACACATGTGTAGGGGTGGAGGGAAAGTGGATTTGTTAGTGTAGTTATACTTTTAGAAATAGTTTTTGTTTTATTCTTATTCTAATTTTCTCACTTGTAGCCAAGAGTAAATAATCTGGGTGCACTAGAAAACCAAATAGTTCATTTCAGTGTCTCGTGTGTATTGTGCCCACTTACTTTGGAAAAGGATTTGAAGGGGCTTTAGTGTTAAAGCTACTATAAAATGGAAGAAGGAGCAGGGATGGAGGAAGGAGTTACTTCTGCATAATGGATTTGGATCTGGTAACCTTTAAGGCAGCCAAAGCAAATAAGTTGAAGTACCAGATTTTGTGCTGTCAGAAGATAAGACCCTCCCCCTCCCACCCCCTGTGGTGGTTGTTGTAGCTTTTTTTCTCTAAAAAGCACATTGGCAGACCTGCAGTTTCCATAGTTGCATTTGTTCCTCTCTGGCTTTGGGAACACTCACTTGTCTGTGCAGTGAGAGCAAATAGCACAGCAGTAGTTTTGCTTTTCTTTTGGGCTGGTTAGCTACCAGTGTGGCAAATTAGGTTTTTCCAGGCCTCTCTGAACTTGGGAACACTATCACCTACACTGTTCACATCTTGCCCTGAACCTCTAGTTATCATCATTGATCATCTGTAACTTCTGTAGTTACCACACTAGTGCTAGCAGATGATTTTTGCTGCTTCAATAACAGATCATCTCAAGGTTTTTCATATACTTTTATAGGTCATATGTTTGGTGAGCCTATCAGCCAGGTTACTTTCTGCAGGATCAATTGGAAGATCTGTTTCCCTGCTCAATTGGATGGTTGGTAGGAATACCCTAGTTCTTGTGGCAGGATGGAGAGAGATCCCATTGTACTGGCTCCAGTCAGCATCTTGGCTACCACAACAGCTAAGAGCAATGCCCAGGTTTTAGAGATTCACATTCCTTAGATGGTGCCTGTCTTCCTCCATCTTTCAAATCCAGCAACAGCAAGCTGAGTGTTTCTGATAAACCAGCGAAAGGACTTTTGTGATTGGATTTCAGGAAGCTGGGAATGCAAAGTTATCTCCCCATCTCAAGGTCCCAGTCTCAGAACACATGGCAGAGTTTTTTTGTACTATAAGCCACCATGTTCCAAGGTACTGGAGATTGCGCTATAGTTATTTTGAGGGCTGAAGTGATGTCCCTTTATCCTTCTTTCATCCCCCTGTTTGTATGACAACCAGAGCAATTAGACCAAATAAAAACTTGATATTTTCCCCCCTTACATGTACCCTGTTCTGATTTGAATCTTTTTTAAAATCCATGTTCCTATCTAATTATGTATCTAACCTGTGGTTAGAATGCTAGTGAGAATATTGTGTTAGGATTTTATGAGAAAGCATTATTCCTCAGTAGAAACGTAATATAATCACGCATAACTTTTCTTCTCATTAATAAAGAAACAAAGCACTAAGGACATACAGAAATTTTTCTAATTTTTGTTAAGCCACCATTGCTTGAGCATTTGTAAATACAATAACAAATACCAGAGACTCACCTTCCTACTACTAACTTTTCAGTGAAAGGCATAAATTCTCCATACATTCTCTCCTATTTTGTAGGTGGGATGGGAGAGAAAGAGGGAAGGAATGACATTATCCAAAAAGAAATGTACTTTTTACCTGCTCCTCCACTGTTCTCCACTACGATACACTGAAATCTCTCAAATCATGAGCAAAATAAATCTTTTCTCCCTTATGTTGTTTCTATCAGATTTTAGGTCACATTAGCAAAACACACAAAGAAACAAACAAACAAAAAAACCCCAAGCAACAACAACAACAAAACAGAAGAAAGCAAAGCAAAACAAAAATAAAACAAACCTAAAAAAGCAATGATTACTTGTAATTTATGTCCCAGCTGTGAAGGTGTGGGATACAGTGTCTTAAAGTTGACATACCATGATGTATTTATGATGCAGACATAATAGACAATATTTTGGGTCTGCTGTAAATATAACAAATGTGGTAATGATGTGTTGGGTGCAGAGAAAACCCAATGAGGGGAGTCTTATTCAGGATTTGGCTTTGTAAGCATACTTTAAGGCAGCATTATATTTTGTGTACTCATGCTATTGTTACACTCAGGTTGTTTTCATGAGAAAGTAACTGACAAAAGAAAAACCTGGCTTCCAACCTTGATCCTTAGATCTTAGCCTTAGAGTAGCTAGGATTACAGGTGTGAACCACCAGTGCCTGGCAAGAACTTTTTAAAAAATTTTATTCTTAGCTGGGCACAAGTGGCTCACATCTTTAATCATAGCTACTCAGGAGGCTGAGATCTGAGGATCACAGTTCAAAGCCAGCCTGGGCAGGAAAGTCCATGAGACTCTTATCTCCAGTAAACCACTGGAAAACTGGAAGTGGAGCTGTGGCTCAAGTGGTAGAGCACTAGCCTCGAACTGAAGAGCTCAGGGACAGTGTCCAAGCCCAGAGTTCAAGCCCCACAACTGACCAAAAAAAAATTTTTTTTTAAATTTTTATTGTAAAGGTGATATACAGAGGGGTTAGAGTTGCATAAGTCAGGTAGTCAGACAGTGTCACTCCTTCCCTCTTTCTCTCCCAGTTTTTCCCTCCCATCCCACCTACAAAATATGAGAGAAGTTATAGAGAGAATCTTGCCTTTCAAAAGTTAGTAGTCGAAAAATCCAGTGGGACACATTCTCTTATTTTCAGCCTTTAAAGTATTACTTGAGAATACCAAATCCATATGAAATTTTTTTTCTTTTTCTTGTTTTTATTTTGGCTATGGTTTCAAGAAACCTCAATTATATTTTAAAGCTGTGAGTTCTTCTCACTCAAAAAACATCCTGTTAGGGAAGAAAGTAGTTGAAAGCATTGAGAAGCAGAAGTTAATTTATCTCCTGGAAACTTTGGATTGGTTCTGCCTTCTCCAGCTACTGTGGAACCTATCCAATTATCATAATTTTATTTACGTGCATGACATTACATTTACATAAGGTAGAAAGATGAAAATACAACGGACTTTTAAGTAATAGAGTGGGGAAACAGATTGGTTATAAAAACTGGTTTAAAAATCAGTTACAGATTTAAGATAGTGGAATGTTACTAGAAGACGCCCTTGATAACGTGTAGAGGTGATTAGAAAGAAAATAACAGTAGTCTACCAACTTAAAATAGATCCTGCTTATTTTCCAACCCATCACTGGGATCCTCTTGGACTTTGATTCTACATTTATGTTTATAGTCAGCCCACCATATTTGTGGGTTTATTAAACAACATTTTAACAGAGCATGGTTTAAAAAAATTAAAAAAGAAATTGCTGGGTTCTGGTAGCTCACATCTGTAATCCTATCTTCTTGGGAGCTTGAGATCTGAGGATTTTAGTTTGAATTCAGTCAACCAAGGCAGAAAAATTTCTGAAATTCTTATCTCCAGTTAACCAGCAAAAGGCTGGAAGTAGAGGTAGTATAGCTTATGTGACAGCCAAGAACAAAACACCAAGCAAGAGTACAAGTCCCTGAGTTCAAGCTCCAGTACCAAAAAAAGCAAAAAAAGGGTATTGAGTATTAGAGTAAAAAAATGAGAGGTTTCATTTTTCTTTAAAAAAGCCTTTCACAAAACCAAATTGAATACAGTGTTATATATGCAATTTTTGTCATGTCTGAGTTCCATTTATTCAGTCATTTTCAGAGTAAGCTTTGATAGTTATTTTCACTTGTCTTCATCTTCATGGGCCTAGGTCTTGTCCCTCTCCCCTGTTAATCCTAAATGAACTGATTTAGTTACATTTGTTATGACTGATAATTTCATCTCAAGGAAATTTACTGTGTTCTGCATAATTGCCATTCTTTTTCTTAAAGTCCTGACATAGTCTTAAAAGGGGACAATATATACTTTTATTACTAGAGATTTTTTAAGGCTTGTAAGAATTGACCAGTTCACACTAGATGAGGATACTCTTAGGAGAGTAACAGAAAGGCACAATGCCTATGTGCGTCAGATCATATGAAACAATATTTATTGAAATGAACTCCAGGAAATGGAAAAAAGAGTTTTTTTTTCTTTTTTGCTCTTTGTTTTCTTTTTTTGCCTATAGGTCTTTGGGAGTGTTAAGGGGAAGCACAGAAATAGAGGGGTAGAGGGTAAACATATATCGCAATGGTACTTATTGGACAATATGTTGAAAATGAACTATACAACTTGTGAGTGGGAATGGGAGGGAAAAACTAGGAGAGAGGAAGGGAAAGGGTGACATTGTTCAAAAGGAAATGCACTCTTTGCTTTACTTATGTAAATAACCCCTCTGTTTTTAGCATTTTCAAATAATAAGAGTTGACCAATACCTAATAATCAAATATAAAAGACAGATATCAAATCTTTCCAAATTAGATTAGAATGAGATGAAAGGTAGCATTAAGTAGTTTGAAGACTATTTCTCACACACAAATGAGAGCAGAGACTATTACCAGAGTCAGCTTTCCTAGACATCTTTTACCAGAGTTCACTTCCTTTGGAAGTTGGCAACAGAAGCATAAGTTTCATGTGATAACATTCGCTCACCTATATTATAATTTAGCTAAATAAAAATATGCATAACACAGAAAGCCAAAATTGGAAGGGGACTTTAATTTTATTCTCATTATTTTGTTTCTTCAAAAAGAAGTTTTTAAAATAAAGTAACAACATTGCTTATTTTCCTCCCTTCTTCACTGCTCCAGTAAGCTGCTATCATGAAATTATTGAATATATCTCCAGAATGTTGGAATAGGAAAACATAAAAGTTAAAAACCAGGGCTGGGAAGGTGGCTCAGTGGTAGAGTGCTTGCCTTGCATGCATGAGGCCCTGGGTTCGATTCCTCAGCACCACATAAGCAAAAAGAAAAATGCCGGAAGTGGCGCTGTGGCTCAAGTGGTAGAGCGCTAGCCTTGAGCTGAAGAGCTGAGGGACAGCGCCCAGACCCAGAGTTCAGGCCCCATGACCAGACCCAAAAAAAAAAAAGAAAAAGAAAAGTTAAAAACCATTCAGCTATTTGGAAAGACTTGTTAACAGTACCACAGATTTGATGGGCATTACATTTCCTATAGTTGTTATTTGATAATGAGTGGTGACTTTAGTCTTGAACCAGGGAATAAGAATTAAATGCTGATTTCATGAGTTGTTTTGAATTTTTTTTAATCAAAGGCAGAGATTTATTTTCATCACCTGAAGCATGACACCAATGTTAGACAGGGTGGAATTTCATTTTTTTTTATTATAAAGATATTGTAAGAGGGGTTACAGTTACATGAGTAAGGTAATGAGTACATTTCCTATCAAGCATTGTTACCCCCTCCTTTGTTTTCCCTTACTATCCTGAATTGGTTTTTCTTGATCCTTTTTCAACCATTTTAAACTTAGTAACTGATTCTGCCACAGAAGTACTTTGAGGAAATTATGTAAGTGTAAACTCAATGAATGAAGATAGAGTACTTGTTAATAAAGCGTGGGGTTATTTTGGCAGTTGTGACATTGGTTTCATTGACTAGCCTTCTAGGCTTTAAATAATTTTGTTTTTAACAATACTTAGAAACTATTTTCATGTATGCCCAAAAGGGTCTTTTTACAAATGGAGTGAAGACTTAAACTTTGTTATAATCAGAAGATTTTTAGACTAACATTCTGTATTTATTATCTTGAAATGAACTTTGAGTATGGATTGCTAATATTTATGAATTATTTTATATTCAAGTATAGATGATATGACTGTGTATCTTCAGCTTCTTCATACATAGTTAATACATTTGAATTCACAAGCAATACATGATAGAGAAAATATTTAAGTTTACTTTATCTTCTAGAAGACAGACTGTCAGTATTTTCCTTTCATTCTTGATGTTTTTTAATGTCTTTTTCTTTTTGTTGTTCTTCAGGGAGATGTACCTTCTGTTGAATACCTTTTACAAAATGGAAATGACCCAAATGTGAAAGACCATGCTGGATGGACTCCACTGGTAGTTCTTACTTGTTTATGTTTTTCAATGGTGGGGGTTGTTGGTCTCTTATTTTGCTGTGCTTATTGTTATTGTCTGCATATCATCCCTACCATCTCCATATTCAGTCTGGAGAGTCCCCCCCACCCCCCAGCTTTTCAGTTACCAGGAAAATAATTGACTACTGTTTTGCTACTTTTAGATTTAGAAGTCCAGTTGTGCAACATTGCTATATTTGGCTTCTGCATGCAGGAACTGCTGTGGCTGACACTAGGCTCCATTGTGCAGCATTGAGTCTGATTTGGATTTCACAAAGAGAAGTCAGAAGAGGAGTAGGGAATGTGACCATCTTGTTTATCTGTCTAGTTAAAAAATTGAGGCAATAGAAAGTTTTGATTACATTCAACATTTTTGAGTCTTTATTACTCTTTGTACAATGTGAAGAATACTCTGGAAGTAGAACAGCAAAAATACTTGGAAATGGACTAATTTTATTGAGGCAATGAGAATAAGGCTTGATCACAGACAGGCACAGGAATATAAGCAGAGGAAATGGTTGCTTTATCCTGTAAATCAGAAGTTCAGCACAAAATGAAGGGACTCCTTAGGCCAAATGACAAAACGTTTAAAGGTATACAAAAAGACTTCTCTGCCAAATTCTTAAGCTATTTGCATGGTTTCGTCTGAGTTAAGTCATTTTTAGTGTTTGAACTTGAGGCTGAGAGAAATGATTAACATTTTTTCCCCTTTTAAAAAATATTTAAATATTAAAAACATTTCTAGTGCTAGAGATCAAACCTAGGGCCCTAATCCATGCTAGGCAAATGTTCTTCACTTAGCTACATTACCAGCCTGTGAATTTTGTGTAACTGGTTGTTAAATATTATCTTACCTTCTTAATATTTTAAAATTATTGTAGAAGAATTTAGGAAATATAACTAAGTATTTGATGTAAGGGTTTTATTTGTCCATGATTTATACAGATCTTGATCACTGTGTATCTTACTATAGATTATTATTAGCCTGTATTTTCTGAACAGTCATGGTCTTTATGAGTATTTATGTAAGAATACATTTATGACTAGGTTTCTATTTATTTAAGGGTAAATGGCAGTGTTATTGTAGTATCATTTACTCTTTACCACCATCTCTACCTTTTTTTTTAATGTAAATAAAATGCTAAAAATTAGCATGAAGCCTGCAATCATGGACATCTGAAGGTTGTGGAATTGCTGCTGCAGCATAAGGCCTTGGTGAACAGCACTGGCTACCACAACGACTCTCCACTTCATGATGCAGCCCGGAATGGGCATCTTGATATAGTCAAGCTCTTACTGTCCCACGGAGCCTCTAGGAATGTTGTGTAAGTATTGTCTACACAGTTGTTTGCAAATTGACCTGTATTCCCAAGTTAGGTATGTGTCTCACTATCTGAGGGTTCTTTTGCCTTCCCTTCTACAGTTGCATTTAGATGTTGCAGTGAGATGTAACCATTAGGGTCTGTATTTAAACTAAACCCTGTACTATTTCCTCGGTGAGACTTAAGTATTTGGAGATTTGCTGTGTTCAATCCATTTTGGAAACTTTATTTCATGGACAAATTCACTTAGTGCTTATGTTCTATATGCTGATTCATGTTTGTTAATAAAAGTCATAAATCTAATTATATTTTGTGCTACCTCATGCTTAGAATTATTTCAGAACTTTATAGCAAGAGTTAAAGTATTTGGATATTGGGCTAGTGCAGTTGAGTTATTTCCCAGATTTTTCACATTATTCAAATGAGGCTCTGAGTAAATTGTTTTGCAGTGTCAGGGCACAGAGGCCCATTAGTGAATGCTGGCGGCTGCATTTTAAAATTGCTATTGTCAAGAGTATCACAAGCAAATGCTGTATGTAGATTTTATATCTTTAATCTGTAACTTGGCTCATGTCTCCCTATATGTTATTTTTACTCTCTTTAGTTAATTAGGTAGTTGAAATGAAAATGCAAGAATTACTTCTCTGTGCCCCCATGGCTTCTATAGGTTTCAAAAGAGCACAGAAAATCAAAGTTACAGAGCATATAAGAATTACAAAATAGAACTTCTAGGTTGTGATTTTGTAGGTTAACTATTTAACATAAATGAAAAGCAAATTAGCAACGTAATAATATACCATACCTTATGCTGTTAGTTTTAGTCAGTGTGTCCAATTTCCCGTGTTTCCTATGCAAGTTGTCAGGTAGTTGAGGAAACTTGGGATACCTACTGACTGTTTTTTCAAAAAATTGTATGTGTGTGTCTGTGTGTGTGTGTGTGTGTGTGTGTGTCTGTCTGTGTATACGTGTACATGGACCTAACATATTTATATCTATGAAAAGACCCAGCAGATATGGCCCTCTTTTGGGTATAGCAAACCATTTTATAAAGCAAATGGTTGCTTGGGTCAGGTGAAATGAAATAGTTTCCATTCTTGGGTCCTTAAATCAGCCATGACCACTTTAATGAATGGAGCACCAGTCAGGGTGTTAGGGAATCCAGCTTTTATTTGTGACTCCATTATTGACTTTATAGCCTCAAGCAGGTTAATTTCGGTGCCTTGATGTCCTCACCTATAAAACATGGGTGCTGCCTGCTGTTTTTCTATTTCCTCAGAGCAGAGTAAGGATTAATGAGCCAAAACCCTGGAGCCTGTCTTGTGGTTTGTACACCATGATTCTTCACTGCACTGTGAGGACTTATTAATATACAAGGAGGGGGCATGAAACAGTGATTTCTACCTTCCCACGACTCATAGAGACCAGACACCTGTTTTTTCATAGGCTTACCTGGCCAAATGGCACTCTTTAGCCCAGCACTGTCTTGTAGACCTTTCTGCCAGGTGTAATGTTTATGTCAATGCCAGATGCCAGCCATTCAGTAGTATAATCACCTTAAGCTTTTGAATACTTGGATATTGTCTGTCCCTGGGAAACTAAATCTTCATATGTATTCAATGTAAATTAATTTAAATAGACATGTATTAAGTGACTATTGAACCAGTAGTTGTTCAATAGGACTGTTGGGAAAGAGAATTTTGAAAAGAGGTTGGGGTTGGTGTTGGATAAGGACAGGAGGCAAATGAGTTTTGATCCGTAAGTATACTGGAATAGTTGCTGTTTCTAAACATTATTATTATTATTATTATTTGCAGACTGTTGGTTATAATGTCTTATGTTACTGCAATTTGCTTTATTTTGTAGTGACTATTCACCTGATTGATCTTACCAGCTTCCTGCTGGTCACTTCCTTTTCAGATTGCTTTTCTTTAATTCATTCCTCATACTGTGGCCTCAGTACCTTCAATAAGTACAAGTTTGACTAAATCATGTATTTCCTCAATTGTCTTCAGTGGCTTCCTTATAATGTGTTTAAAATGAATTTCAAATCCAAAAACATAGCTTATGAGGCCCTGGATGGTCTAGTGCTACTGACCTCTAAACTCATCATCTTCCCACAGTTTGTCCTGACCCCTTTCTTAGAGCATTTTAAAAATTAATTAACTTAATTAATTTATTTGCATTTGCTTAAAATGTGCCTTCTAATGTTTATACATTCTTATACTTTACTTGGAACACTTATTTATGGTAGCAGTTTTTTATTTTTTTGAGTTCATCTTGATTTTTTTTTTTTTTTTTGGATTGTCTTTCTTGATTGCTCATGTCTGTATCCATGCCTATAGAAATTAGGTGGTAGTATATTTACTTCTTGTTACCTTCTTACTGTAGTCAAGGGGTATATCAGCCCTTCTGCCACATTTATGTGTACAGAGAGTAAGTTTTTCAATGAATGAAGATACTATTTTTTTTCCTTTTGTCAGATGAGATGAAAATGAAAATTGCCACCTTCTGGTACCACTTTACTGTATGACAAGAATGTCTAAAACCAAATTTCCATGAGTTGTACCTCTTCTATGGTGGTAGAACTGGTTCCTTCTATTTGTCAGAATAAATGTCACATGCTTTTTTTAAATCTGCCCCACAGGTATCCATGGTATACTACTTTTTATGGGATTATGACTACCCATAGTACTTGCTGTAGTCTTGATACTTTTTTTAAAAAATTTTATTTTATTTTTTTGTGAACATACTGTACAGATGGGTTACAATTACATGGGCAGGATAATGCGTACATTTCTTATCAAGCATTGCAGCCTCCTCCTTTGTTTACCCTTCACATCCCTTCCCAGCTTCCCAGCCTCCCCCCCCCCCCCCCCCCCCCGCACTAACGTTGTAAAGCTCATTTTCGACATGACAACTTGTACTTCTCATTGTCGCAACAGATCCACCTGTATCCTTAAACGACTTGTTTTTCCCCATCTCCTCCACAAGTTATACTGACATCAAATATACGAAAAAATTATATTAAGTGAAGTAAGCCAGGCCTAAAGAAACATAGGTCCCATGGTTTCCCTTATTTGCAATATCTAGTATATGTATGAGTCAAGCGGAAAAGGTCAGATAATGTGAGATAATGTGATGTTAGGAAAATGAACCCTTAGATATGTATTTTAATGTTTTTTTCTTTCATGCATTTGTTTCTAACGCATTTATAAGATTACCTCTTTGTTGCTTTGTATGTCCCTCCCCCACAGTATAACCCCTGCTTTCACTATATTTGATGTCAGTCTTGATACTTTTTAAGACCTCTCTTGCCTAGGTGACTGCCAGTGTTCTAAACATTATTGTCCTGAGAGTATACAAAGCTCATTTCTATCCCTTCCTCCATTAGTGTTAAATTAGTGTACATTAATAATATGAGGAAGTTTCATTGTGACAATTTCATATTTACATGCAGGACAAACTCACCCCTTCTTATATTCCCCTCACTGTTCCCTTCTTTTTCAGTGTTTTGTGGGTTTTATGCTGGAAAGTGTAAGTAACACTTTCTATGCTCTTTACTCTTCAGTGTCTTTTCCTTTTTCTCTTTTCTCTGCTTCCTGATCCCTAGCCCCCCCAAACAGTTTCCCTTCAACATTCATGTGTTATTATCATCATGAGCAGCTATTGCCATTATAATTTAGGTTAGATTCCACAAATGAGAGAAAACATGTGATAATTGGCTTTTTGAGCTTGACTAATCTCACTCAACATGATCATCTCCAGTTCCATTCATTTTCTTGCAAATTATATAATTTCATTTTTCTTTTGGCTGAGTAAAAGATCAGGAAGTCTTTTAAGTGCCTACTTTCCTGTTAAGTTTTCACATATTCCTTCTATCACTTTTCCCTTCACCTATTTCTGACTATGTGTTTACTCTAGTTAGGAGTAAATGGACACTTTTGTAAAACAGGATGATGCATGGTTTCCTAGCACAGTCCTCAAGATTATATGAAAATCTAGTGTAGAGGTTAGAGTAAGATTTAATTCAGAACTAGTTGCAGTCTATGGAAAATAACAGGCTCTTGTCTCCTTCTCTCCTTCCCTTCCTCCTTCCCTCTTTCCTACTTTTTCTTATTCCCTTACAAATACATAGGACTTCGTATTTGGTACTTGTTCTACTTATATTTGGTACGTGTTTGGTACTTGTTACACTTTTCCTTGGAATGGATGTTGAATTCTTAAGTGGATCACTGGAACTTCTTGCTCTAGTTAAGGTTTAAAAAAAACCAAATCATCTACAAAAATAATTTATGTTTTGTAGCTTTAAAAGAAAGACATGTTTCTCTTTTGAGTGATTGTACATTTTCCTGCTCATAGCAAAGTGACTTGAAAAATTAAATTTTTGCGTTTGGAATTTTGTAGCTGTTCTTAAAAGTTTTCATCCATGGACTATCTTGACACGATAAGTTTATCATTAGTTAAAAATGCTCTGCGAATATTTTGCACACTGGATGATCTAAGTGTGTAAGTTTGGATTTACCCACCTCCTCCCCACCTGGTACTAGCCTATAGTACATTCACAGCTCAGCTTTATGCAATAAATGAAAGATAGCTTGTCATTCCTATAGAGAAAAGGGGATTGAAGTGTGTTACTGTATTCTGAACTCTGCCCTTGAGGTGAAGTTGAAACATTGGACCTATCAGTTTAACCTTTTGGTAAGTGATTTCTTTTCATCAGTCTTAGTGATTAGAAAGGATTCTGGTTGGGGGGCTGGGAAGGTGGCTCAGTGGTAGAGTGCTTGCCTTGCATGCCTGAGGCCCTGGGTTCGATTCCTCAGCAGCACATAAGCAAAATGAAAAAAGCCGGAAGTGGCCCTGTGGCTCAAGTGGTACAGCACTAGCTTTGAGCTGAAGAGCTGAGGGACAGCGCCCAGGCCCAGAGTTCAGGTCCCACAACCGGACCCAAAAACAAAAAAAAGAAAGAAAGGATTCTGGTTGGGAAAAGGATTTGTATTCATGCA